CAAAAAGGTACCTATTAAATTTTTAGGTACTCGAATTTCTCAAATAGGTAACAAAGCTGCGAAACTTAGCGTGATATTGCCAGACTTTGGTCGACATGTGTGGCCACATCAACGTCGCTGTGGACAGGGGGCGCGCGTTGTCGCATGGCTATCTTATATCGGGCGAAATTAGGCAGGCTTCGCGTGACATAATGTCGACGATACGTCGTGGGTCATTTGCCTCTTAACCTATCCTTGGCTTAACTTTCAATTCCAATGATCGAAGAGTACTTGACTCCGGTCTTCCATGTCATTGGTTGTGGGAATAATCTCGATCAATGACGGCGAGGATGCGATCGAGCTCACTTTGAAAATTCGAATTGACAGTTACAATAAAGCCCGAGCCCGATCCCAAAGCCCAATCGGCGCCGCCCATGGACATCCAAAACACCATAAGCGTTACAAGTACATTAGAAATTTGATTATTGGAGATTCAGGGATTGGGGAGATTGGGGAAAGGGGGGAGGATGACTGGGCCTCCTGTAACCCCACTCACACGACGAAACATAAGACAAGCGTTGTTCCTCGTCGACTTTCTGTGAGGCCGTGGTATCACTCCGGTCCATCCAACCCATTCGTGCCTTAGGATGGCTTACCCACTCTTGGCACTACCATACAAATACTGAAAGATTATTTAAATTGAGTAACAGTACAGTACAAAATAATATAATTCGAGACAGATGATGGATGGCGTGTACTGCGTAAACTTATTACTTTCACAGATTTTACACTACGAATTTGCAGCTGTTTTGAAGGTAATAACTGTAATCCAACCTTCAGTTACTATGTAAATACTTACAATTTACATAATTCTACAAACAGGTAGGTTCTAAGGTAAATGAAGTACCAATTAGTGAAATCACTTCGTGTATGAGAGTCAAAAGTAATATTAATAATAATTTCAATTATTTCACTAAGATGTTAATATATATATATACGATAAAATGATTAATCCATCCAAATCCAAAAGTGGGTGTTACATTGTACAGTGGCATTAAGTGCCGTAATGTGCACCTCTGCCTACCCCTTCGGGGATAAAAAGGCGTGATGTTATGTTATGTTATGTGATTAATCCATTTTTGAGATACAAAACAGAAGATAAAAAAATATATACTTAATTTGGAACATAAAAAAGTGATTACAATAATCAACGCCATCAATGAGATTATCGCAAGAGTTGCACACGTCGTCTTCTACACATATAATAGCATCGTAGGAAAGTGAAAAATGTATATCGAATATTTTTTTGAAGAATGCCTTGGGCGTGATCTTCAGTTGATACAGAACCAAAAATATGGTTTTCAGAATTTTGTCTGTTTGTCTGTATGTATGTCCGGGATAAACTCAAAAAGTGCTGCATGGATTTACTTACAATTTTGCATGAATATTACTAACAGGTTGCGGCAACATACAGGCTACATATTATCATGCTATCAACTACGGGGGAGGAGCTGTGAATCACTATTCCACGCGGACGAAGTCGCGGGTTCAGCTAGTCGTATATAAAGTACTTATCTAGATTTTAATTTGTAAGTGATTAACGAATAATAATTATTAAATAGGTCTGTTAAAAAATCAGTGATCCTTGAGTAAAAGATCTCGGTTTCGTTGTTCCAGCCGATTTGGACCGATTTTTTAATCATCACTTATTTCATAACTCTACAATAAAATTGTCATTTGTCACTGTTTAATATGGAAGAATAAATTGTCAAATCTACAAAGTTAAGTTCGACGGTTCATTAAACCGCCGTCACCACTCGACACTGGCAGTATAGTCAACAACATCGTTTTGGAGACTCGTTTGCCAAAGAAGAAAAAAAAAATGTCAATAATTCAAAATTATGCCTCTGTTACCATTTATCTGGCGTTGGAAAAATTGACTCTTAAAAAACGGCTACGGTGTAATTATGTAATATAGTTTTTACAACTTCTTAAGTTATTTACAAAAGTCGAAGTATTAAGTAGTATTGTAAAACATTCCCATTCTACGTTACATCCTCTACTTTACATCTGTAACGCAATGGTACCTAAGTACCTATTAAATCAAATCAAAATAATTTATTAGCATAACCTACATGTACTTATTCCAATACAGAATCTCTAACTAGCCCGCAAACTGAGCAGCTACGTCACACGAGTAGATGAGTTCACAATGCTCTGGTGTGCGCTGCAGTTCGTATCTAATCTAATCACGGAATCGGATGCTCTGTCATGGACATCCACCTCGCTCATCTATGTAAATATGTAGTTGTATAGATATATCACACGTGCATAGAGGTTCTATGTCTATTGTTTAAGAATGCCCTTTCAATGTTTCTCTCAGACTCAGATCTATAGGCGATGTATAATTGATTTAGTCTGACCATGATTGTCGGTAATATTATGCTCGCGCACAACTGTAAATATTTCCTGAATTTCGTGCGTCGATTTTGACAGTTAGCGGTCGTGGCGGTGAAAATTTTAATGTGAGGTGCTATGAAATAATTATGAAATAAGTAAGCAAAAACGGCCATTGCAATTTCACTGAATGCAAATGCCAAAATATGAATTTGTGCTGTCGCAGTGGTTTCTTGTTCATTTATTATTAATTTTTTGTTGTTACTTTTAATTTTCATCCCGATTTTAAAAAAGCAAAGTAGGAAGTTGTTTTTTTACGAAATCACGTCGTAGAGTGGCAACAAAGTTCGTCCTACTTCGCTAGCAGAATGGTCATCAAAAAATCACAGGAAAAACGTTCGTTTTACACTAAAATCGACCAAATGTTTCTACGTGGACCTGTAACAAAACATACCCTAACGCCTGAATACCACTTTGAACAGACCTAGTTTTTAGTAATCAGACTTAGTCATCAACTCCTATCATCAAGTTCGTACGTAATTAATGCCTAAGCAATTTCAACGTTAAATTGAAAAGATTTATGTTTCTTTTTCCTTTCCACGTATTTTTATTTTAGCCATAGCTAGCTTAAGATCTTTATCTATCTACGACCTTTTTAAAATCAATTCGGTCAATTACTAAACAGTGGGTACAAATAACAATTAAAAACGATAACAATTTCCAACAACAGATTAACAACAAGTGACAACAACCGACATTTGACGTTTACTTTTCGGCAGCTTTTTCGCGCCTCTTTTCCAAATGTCAAAGTGATACAACACCCGACGCGATGCATGTGTTTATTCTATTCTGCCTATACGATTTTTATCAGTGAATTATTTGAGATAAAGTCATCGTTTTTATTTTATTTTTTAGTTTGAGTAAATGGGTTTTATTGCGTTACTTACATAACTCGTTCTACTCCTTAGCCTTTTCTTTATTTAGTAACTCTAATTTCAAAATTACCTAAGTGTCATAAAATGCCTATTGTATAGTCTAGCAGATTTTTCTACTTGTAGTTACAGTAGCTACTGAGAAACCCTCATTAAGGAATAACAAACATATACAAAGATTGTCATTAATGAAATGATTTGCCAGTAGTACACGCAAGCAATAATGTCATCAACACCTTGACATATGTATGTGATAAATATGGCGCGCTGTGTGACGTCATCGCTTTACTTCCACGGCTCGAATATTCATTATGTTGTAGTAATTAGTACTTGGTGACTGACCGTGCGATAACCAGCGATTGTCACGCTGTATCGATTGCTTACCAAAATGCAATGTAGGTACTGCAAGCAAACAGAGTACCTATTCATGGTAACATCTCAAGCTACTTAAAACTGTCGACTGTTTTTATTGGAATGTAAACTTTATCATAAAATGATAAAGTTGGTAATCTACCAATAGACAATAATGCTGATATACACTGATGCATCTCAGTTGATTGCCGCTGCATGTTTGTATTGCATGTAAAAAAGATAGCAAATTGAGTTTATTTTCAATCTAGGGAAGCGATTTCTTCACTATTCAATTCCAACGTACTTTTCGTATTGGCTCTAAGTTTATGGCTATCTATCGCGTATAAATTTTAGCTGAGGTGAGCCGCTGCCGTATAAAAAATCCAATAACAGTTTACTCAACCCGAATGCCTTGGGAGCCTCATAAGCAATTCTGGCTGATGGAAAATACGGCAATAGATACCATTAACTATGAAAACTATCATACTCACACAGTTATAACATTTTATGAGAGAATACTAACAATAATTTACCTTTCCTTGCTTTCTATATATTCTATATAAGTTCTAAACAGACGATTTATCTATAAAAATAAATGATTATTACAAAATGTATACTGATAAAATCTCCGCTAGTGTTTTTGCATTCATTATTTTAGTTTACAAACCTCTCATATTCGGAAAAAATAAGATACAGTGTAAATTGTACCTAAGAGGTACCTGGATCAGATAACCCCGTACTGATCTATCGCTTCGCCTTTTTTTAATGGGTTGGGCGGCGAATGAACAGACGGATTATTTATTTATTTATATATTGACACTTCTTTCACAATGGGTATACAATGGCGGATCACCTGATGGTAAGCAATAAGCGACGGTCATGTATGTGCACCCGCAAGATCAGGGGAGTTACCAACAGTGTGTTGCCGGCATTTTGAAGACTCGGATTTTGAGGATTGTTGGAAAGGTTTGGGCCTCCTTACCCGATGCAAGCAACGCAAGCATTGTCTCAGTTTGGTTTGAGGACGTGGTATCACTCCGGTTGAACTGGTCATACCAGGAAAGTGGAACTCATAGCACAACTGCGGAAACTTTAAATGTATTTATTATGTAACAATAATGTGCAATCAATGAATACCCCATTTAAACACTTTTATTACAAACTAAACATTCTCGAAGATCTTTTTGATGGATTTGAGATAAAAGCTAGCATTCTTCCCGAGGGCTACGAGGTCTGGTCCCATGTGGCGCCGCCTCTCCACGCGGTTAGATTTCTTTCCGACATCTTCATCAGAATATTCGTTTGAAGTATCATCTGGCATTTTAGCATTCAACTCTTCTTCCATTACTGTTAGGAAAAAATTATAAATAACATTATTAAACACCCATTATCATTATCATCATCATAAATAAATCATCTTCAGCATCAGTCATCCGTCTGAAGTACCTAGTCGTCAAGAAGAAGGCTTCATTTGATAATTGAAATTAAATGTATGATATTTTGGAATA